GGGGAGAGGGAGAGGGAGGGGGAGAGGGAGAGCACTGATGTTGTTACTTATTGTTACTTCTATCTTTCGTCCTCGGTATTAAACCAAGTCACAATCTAAACCATGATGTGGTGTGTACACATTCAACCGGCCCTCAAGAGTATCACCCAGGAAGTAAAAAGGGAAGATCATTTCTAAATTGAAGTATACACGTATCGACTGAACAGATGCGCCTAACTTGATTTTAAGTAGCAATCAGAAACCTGTGATCAGGACAATGTGTTTTTGTCAAGTTTTTGTGGTGAAGCAAAGGGGTTATTGTAACCTTAGAGGTTTACGTAAAAGCTGTGTTAAAACAAAGTATGTGCATACATGTTTTGTGATTAGTACTCCAGTAATAAAGTGCAGGTTGCAGTAGGTTGGTGGCTGTTCTAGTGTTGTTTGATCCTTTTTTCTTATTAAACATTAACCATTCTTATCTCTCCTACTTCGCTTTGTATATTACTTTCAAGAAACACCTCTAATCTTCTGCACTTGCAAGTGCAGTAAAACTCTTAACAAAACTAAACGTACAGGTACTTTTAAACTGCACGTCAGCACCCTAGAGAATATTGTTCTACATGTATTAAGATTTGAGTCCGAAGAGGCAGGTGCAGTCAAGCCGCGCTTTTCATTAAATCCCAACGGCATTATGATTATGACTTCATTAAATCCCAGCGGCATTATGATTATGACTTCATTAAATCCCAGCGGCATTATGATTATGACTCGCAAATCTCGTTCTCATCATGGCATGGTTTTTCGCAGGAGTGAACACTTCGCTGATGGCATACTACAACCTGATACACAGTCTGTCAGATGGATCTATAAGGAAATTAGCGGAGGTTTGTGTTTAGTACCCCCTCTTCTCCCCCCCCCCAAGAAAAAAAGGGAGAAAGGGGGGGGGGGGAACTAATCGAAGCACATGGTGAAAAAGCGAAATTAAACAATCGAGCTAATCAATGCGTACAAAAGCGTCCTCAGTGTTTGAAGATCTATCAACAGGATGTTATTTAGATATTTTAAATCCAAAGAAATAAAAACCTGAATAGACACCAAAGGAAAAATTTGAAATGTTGAGCTGGTTTAATAAAACATACATTCAAGATCATAATATTATTATTTTATCTAAATTTAGAGGTTTTTAGTAAGCTTTAAAGAGCACTTAAATGTTTCTTCATTTATTATTTTGATTCATTCATCCCAAACGTACCAAATGAGAGCCTTCTGTTCGATTTGAATGTAAGAAAAAAGTGATCCGACAAAATACATCTCTATATATCAAAACAGACATAGATATGGGATAACATCAGTATTCATCGCTTAACGACATTGCCTTTGAAGCTTAGGATTCATATCTAAAATGCATAAAAGAATACAGACTTTGGTCTACACTTTATCATGTCCTCAGGCGTTTCCTGCGGAAGATTTGAAAGAAAGCACGACAAGTATTTTTGACACGGTAGAAAAATACGACGTATACAGGTGATGAACTACTATAATACATCGTCTTTCGTTTGAATGTAACTTTATTTCTTTTACATTAACTTAATCTGACACCTACTAGTTTTTCATTACAGGAGTGTTAGTAAAAGGCTGAGCTTGTAGCACAAATGAGGTTCAATACACAGCCTAATCGTTTTGTAGTAGTGCGTGCGACAGTTAATTCTGATACAAAAAATGAAATCGATGTCTATGGTATAATGGTTAGGTCTTTTGTCGACGTTAGTTCGATTTCTGTGTGGAGAGAACTTTTATCGAGTATCTCGGTCCTTTTGCTGGGACTTTGTATCTCTCTTAGCCTTGGTTCGCCTGCCTGAGATGGGGGCGTAAAAATACCTATACATTGAAATATTATAATTCATTCAATGCACAATGCACACAATAACTCTCAGTACATGAACATTATATAGTCGTACATGTCACAATTAAAAATGGACTAAATTTTTTTTTGACAAACTTCATTGTTTTGAGTAACCTCTGAACGCATATCACCTTCCAGACGATGGTTTGGGTTTGCACTGACCACCGTCTTTGTGATCATCGTGGTGCTCCTGCTGCTGGGAGTCTTCCTGGGTGTCGTCTGCTACGACAGGACAGCGCTGCCCACCGAGAGGAGCAGAGGATCAAATTGTGGCGGGAATCTACTGCTTGGGTAGTTTTTTTCTCATTGATAGTTTCAATTTTTAGTACCAGTTTCACGGCACTTGCAAAGCAATTGTAAGTCATATAAATGCCAAAAGTTGGAGGTGTTACTGGAGAGTAACACACAAAAGAGGAGGAGAGATAAGGACGACATATATTTTATAGTTAAGTTGAGGCAAACCACAACGGAGTAACCGCCAACCACCTGAATTTTTAGTCTGCATTTGAATCTATCTCTATAGATCATGTTACATAAAAGCGATCGCAAAAGAGATAATTTCGGAGGCATGCTTCTCTTCTTTCTGAAATTTGAACAAACTGTTCTCAGTTGATTCTTTGGTGTGGGTTTTGTTTTGAAATTATTCAACAGTATTGGCCGTTCAGTTATTTATTGGTTCCTTCTTTGATATCGTGTATTAATCAAACCAGTGAGGGGCTATGCTCTTGGTCTGATAAATGTAATCCTTATTATATTAACCTGTGTGTTATCTCATTGATGGCAGAGAAATCATACTTTTTCTTTTCACACTGATTGTTGACCTGAATAATTCATCGTCAAGAGTAGCTTAAAACATCAACTATCATAAAACAGACATTTGACTGCATCAACAAAAATTATTACACCCAACACGATCTTAATGAACCACATGTCTTTTTTATAACCCCCCCCCCTCAGAGCAATCGTGGTGATGTTTATTGTGGGTTTTCTACTCACGGTCCTGGCGACCCCTGTGTTCCTGTTTGGCTCCATGTTGGAAAAATGCTGTGAACCGTTGGAGGACCTCACCATTTTCAAAAATGTCAGTTCTCATAATAATATTTGCGAATCACTATTGCCTTAATCCAAAAAACTATCGTTTGCAATATTTTTAATTGATTTAAACCTGAAACGAAGCTCTGTTTGTGTTTCTTCCTTAACACTCCATTGGAAGTCAAATTGTCTAGAGATTTCAGTAGGTTTCTCAGTTCGTTGTCTTAACCATTCTAACGGTTTTAATCATACATGTAATTAATACACCCAGATCGTGGTAATTATCACATTTTATTATTGCTGCAAATACCAGGAAAATAGAAAAAAAAACCCCTAGTTATAATATTCTGATTCCACAAACCAACATCTTTTAAACATAAAGTATCCCTTTAACCTTTTTTCTACACTAAAGTGTTCTGCTTTAGATCGTATTTCAGTTTCATTATCTTTTAATGGCTCCTGTAAGTTGAAGGCACTAATGTAACAGAATTTTGCAGTTATATCAAGTAAAGTGTTAGTAGTTACTTTTAAACCAAAGTCCTTTAGCTTCAAAGTTATAACAAAGTGCTATATAAAATGTGGTATGGAATTAAAACACACATTTTAAATTAGATTCTATACATATTCTTCAGTTTTTAGATGAAGGGAAAGTACCAGATTACTCGTTATCAAAGATCACAATCGGCGTCACCTCAATAGACCTCAAAGGATATGACGTTTTAATGTGAGTATTTGGATACGAGAATATTATGCCAATACGATATCATAATCATTCTCAGTATACTTTTTCCAGTTATGATATTTTATTATGACAGATATGCTCTTATTTATATCAAGTGGCTTCAAAATGAACTTTGAATTTTTACCCCCCAAAATGTTTGTAGCAACGATCAGTGGGGGCCAAATGTATGTACTTTTGTAATTTACACGCAATCGTAAACATGTACTGAACGCACAAAAACTTCAAAACCGAGGCTTAACCAGCTTTTAGGAAAAAAATTCGTCATCTGAGAATGAAATTTGTGTTTATAATGTTCTCTCAGTCAGTCTTGCTATAATGGGCCCTTGAGCTCTTCTCAGTACCACCAAAAACCGGACCGTTTTGCAAAAACTATGTTCTGTTGACACTATTTTTCACAGAGGATGCCGAGCCAATAAGACTCCCTGGACTGTGCTCAAACTGGGAGAAATTATTCCACTGGAGGACTACCTGAAATATATAAATGTAAGGAATTTTGGAGTTCTTTTGATAGAGATTTACGCCCAACAAGGCATCGTTAGTCCACCTCACTCTATGGCTACAATAAAGACAAACTAAGTGGGAAAGAAGGATGGTAGCGACAATGTACAATGACACACGTGTACATTCAAAAATACATGTTCATGTACGTTGTTCCATCATCAGAGGGACAGCATCTCCTGTTGGCGAGAAGTGATTTTAATTAATGAGCCCCATTTGTGCTCTAAAATCCTTGATTGTACACTCTGACGTAGTTCCAATTCACAATTGCACGCACCATTTGACTCAGTTTGGAGCCAAGTGAAGGGCACGAGAAAGGAGGGCGTCGGCCCTGGGGACTCGACTCTAGCGAGATTGGAGTGTTCCTCTTTATTTGGGTGTCTATGGTACGCACGCTTTGCTACGCTGTTTTGAATACAGAGCAAAGAATGGCGGCCATGAGAGCGAAAGATCTTAGATATATATAATTCAGTGATGAAACGCCAAGCTCGCTACATTATGTACAGACAATTACACCGCAAACACCGGATTGAACCCATTGACGCGAGTAGAGTTGTGGACAGATGAAATTATTTATGTAGGTATGTATGTCGTGAGTGTGTGTGTGTGTGTGTGTGTGTGTGTGTGTGTGTGTGTGTGTGTGTGTGTGTGTGTATGCGTGTATGTATGCGCTTATGCGTATGCGTGCGTGCGTGTGCATGTGTGTGTGTGGGGGGGGGGTGAGTGTATGCGTGTATGCGCGCACATGCGTTTGTATAAGAGAGAGAGAGAGAGAGAGAGAGAGAGAGAGAGAGAGAGAGAGAGAGAGAGAGAGAGAGAGAGAGAGAGAGAGAGAGAGAGAGAGAGAGAGAGAGAGAGAGAGAGGGGGGGGGCAGGCACATCCTTACACATTATCTGAACTCAATCACTTAGCTTGATCATTGTGTCGTCCCACGTGTAGTAATGCCCAACCGTAATTGCCCCTCTGTTGCAGTTCGTAGGCGACCTTGGCCAGGAGCTGCTCAAACTCCAGTCAATCGACATCAGCATGTACAAAGTGCTCACCAACAACATGCAGACTGCCTTAGCACAGATCAGCAACATTGGCCTCGATCAGATAAATTTCAACGAGATCTATGCAGTAGTATGTTGTGTTTACTACTATAAGGAATCAATGCTAACTATTATGTTAATCCCACATCGAAGATAGTGCATGGGTTATGCGCAACATAACATCAAAGAGGTCATCTAGTTTAAACTCCACCCCCCCAAACGACGTATCCCCCCCCCCTCTCCATTTCATTTCTCTCTCCCTTCATAAAAAGGTTATCTGAACGTCCCGAATGTCTAATACCCCAACTTCCCTATCCCATCACTTGCTTGACACCGAGTTGTGTAACAAACTTTCAGGCAAGGATCAACAGTGTTAAAGGTATTTCGGTCTCTTGACTGTACCAGTTTGATGATGATGACCTTTTGCGTCGGGACAGATGACTCGAAAGCAGTATGCATGGTACAGTTTTGTCTGGGTGGTTGATACAGACAAAGTTGAATGTTCGTGCATAGGGTAGAGTCATTTGCTGAATCTTGTACTTGTTTATTTGCGTCAGCTCGTTTAGTATAGATTTTTAAACATTCATGTGTGCTTCAGGGTTTTTATTCAATGAAGTTGCTGGAAAAAAGAATACCAATCTCTAAAACATTAGTTTTCAAGTGCACAGTTAAAAGAACATTATGCCTTAGGTAAGGTAATTTCTTTTCTCGGGTTTTTAATGGACATTGATTCCCTATAAGTAAAGAGCCCTGAGTCCTCCTGATAGCGATACAAATGTGAGTAAGCATGCTCGTCTGTGTAAGTCCACACTTATATGCCGTGGGATTTATTATCACTCTCTTTTACACGTATATTTTCATTGTTATTTGATCTTTATTTCAAAGTCGAGCCTTCCCGTAGTGTCTTTTGACACTAATTCCCTGCTGACCACAATGACCGCCGCGGCAGACTCCTGTAGTGGTGTGACAAAGGTGAGGAAAGCTACTCAAAGTTCACACATCCGGCTTTAGGGATCATGCCACCGAATAGAGTAGCTGCGAGAGGGCGAACCAGATTAATAGATGATTTAACCCTTGACAGGCATCTGAATTTATCACCAAGTAACTTGGACTCTTACGACGGTTAACTTTTCAGTCTCTGAAGCACGCACATAGTGCATTGATTGCTTCATATTTTGTTTTATGGTTTACTCTGTGTTTATATGCTGATTTTCATTAAATGAATTTAAATTAATAATTTATTTTTCATTACATTTTCTCTTTCTAAATAATATCAAGCAACCAAGGTGGCACGGCTTCTAGAATAGGGTTAACGACGGTGTTTATCCTTCAGGGGGACTGTAACACTTAAGAAAATATATATTTCATATAATATGTGGACGTAGACCTAGGGCCAAGTGGACTGTAAAGATATACTATTTGTTTATTATAAAGCATTGACATTTTTTCTTCATAATTAAGGAAAGCATTGAACAATAATGAAACCGGAGATTTTCCTCGGAGATCAGTAGATGCAATATTATGTTTCTCTTCAAATAATCAATAAAAGATCAATAAAGTTTCTCCAATTGCATTTAATCTTAAACTCAAGGGTGTTTTTTTCCCAAGAAGGCAAAAACTACTCAGTCTTTCGTTTCCATACTTCCAAAAGAGCACACAAGACTCGCTAATGAATGTGACTTTCTTGAAAACCAGTTTGTTTGTTGTCTTGATTTCGAATAATGTTTCTTATTTGCAATATGCTGGTTTGCGGTAAAGATTGGTTCTCGCTTAGTGATATGCGTTCCGATGGCTGGAAAACTCGATCACTTTAAAAAAGAGTTGATCTATTTTTCAGACTCGTTGGAATTATCATATCTCCATATTCCAAGCAACCCAGATAAACGAGATGGTCTCTGTGAGTGATGCTGCAGTAAGTATTTTATTTCTGGTGCTTTAGACAGAGCAATTTGACAAGGTCGAGATGAATTCAAGGCTATGAGAGTTGAGGGTTTTAAAGCGCATAGAACCTGCTGTTGAGCGGGGATATGCGCTATACAAATGCTATTTATTATTATTATTATTATTATGTAAGCTGGTGTAGGCAGTAGGGAACTGAGCTAAAAAAATATGCCTGGTTCTTTTGTCTATCCCGTCTATGCCATTCAATAGTTATTTATGTTTTCTATGCGTGGCAGGTGGGGGAAAAAAGCCAACAGAATGTTAGAAAGGTTCCAGTTATTGTCCTTTTTAAATCACTCAAAGTACATGTATTATGTATGTCCTTTTGCATCTTGATAGACGATTTTAAAGCAATACACTAGATGATATAGTTTTGCCTGGGCGATTGTCGTAGAAGAAATAAATTTCCGAAGTTCAGATTCATCCAAATCTTGACTTCTTTGCTATGATCCAAAGGAGAGAGGTTTGGAATCAAGGAGGGTGTAAGGTTGTGTCTTGTTATTTTACAGGTGTGGTAGAAATGTTTTTTCATGGTAGGGAATGTTCTACATAAAAAACAAAGCAAAATAACCCCAAAATTGCCCGCATGGCGGCCTAATTGCCTATTCTTCTGCAGTTCTTTACCCACCAAGGTATCTTTAACGTGCACAAAGTGCATAGTTTCATACTGCGGCGTGGAATACCCATTGCCCCCTCGATTTTTGTTTTTCAGATTGCAGTCAATTCGAGTGCTGGAGACTTGCAACTAGCCGGAAATATTGTCTTGGTGAGGCTTAATTAATTTTTATATAATAATTTTCATGGGTTATTGCAGATTTGCTTGTTTTTCAGTATTTTAATAAGTCTTAATTACTAGGACTTCAGAAAAAATCAAATGAGAAGATTTAAGTATCATATTTTAGAAAATTTTCTCTGACAGACCCCGAGTCTAGCATTTATCATTGCATTTAACTTCCACAAAGTATTCATGCAATTAGAATTTGCCTCTAATATTTGTTTTCATTTGTTTAATGACATTACCTATCTTAAGCAATTTTAATCTCAATCTCCATAATACACTGAAATAAAAATGGTAATAGAGTCTGGAAATACTAACTGTTTGCATGATAATAATAATATGTATCTTGCCATCAGAACCTGCAGTCTACCATCTTGTCAAGTGCCAGTCAAGCAGATTTCCAGATGCAGAACAATATGACGGGAGTTCTGATAGAGGTATGTATGCCTGCGCATGTCGTCATGTAATGTTTTTTTAGTCTGATTTTTTAAAGTCTCTGTCCTTGTGTGCGTCCGTGTGTATGTGTGTGTGTGTGTGTGTCTCTCTCTCTCTGTGTGTGTGTGTGTGTGTGTGTGTGTGTGTGTGTGTATGTGGTGTAGAAATGTGTGTGCGCACGACATGTATATGGGTAGATAAAAATGAATGACATATTGACTTTTGTTTGTTTGTTTGTTTTTGTAAAGTGTTTTACGGCGCTCGCAACTGCATAAGATCATATGAGCGCGCGGGACACACCTAATATTTTCAGTTGGTAGGAAATTTTGAATTTTGCCCGGGTGGCGGCCGAAGCCTACTCT